CACACACACACACACACACACACACACACACACACACACACACACCAATAAACATACTGGCACTTGTACAAATAAAAATAAATCATTTTTGCAAAGCATAGTATTTGTTTAAAAAAAAGGGAAAGTATTTGGGCAATACAAATTGGACGTAAGGGGAACAACATGAAAGTGGAGGGGTAGGGAAGTGGGGGCAGTGGGAAGGAGCTGGAAGAGGGGGGAATATAACCAAAATACACTGTATGAATACCCTCAAAGATACAGCTCCAAGTGGATCCAATGCCCTCTTTCTGACCTCCACAGGCATTGCACGATATAAGTGCACCCACCTACATACAGGCAATACATTCATACACATAAAAATAACAAATAATTTTTTTTCTTTTTGAGACAGGGTCTCCCCATAGCCCCTGCTGTCCTGGAACTCACAAAGATCCGCCTGCCTCTGCCGGGATTAAAGGTGTGCACAACCATGCCCGGATACAAATAAATTTTTTTAAAAAAGTAATCAATATATGAAACCTTTGTTAAGCTTTTTCTAGTATCCCACTGTCAGGTGTCCACAGCAGGCATTGATGACATATAATTGCTGCTTCAGAATAATGGCAATAATTAACAAATATTGCTTACTGTGTACCAGACACTCATCCACATACTCTACACATACTAAATTATTTAACAAGATATGAAGTAGATATTATTATATTATACATAAGAAATGTAGGACAGGGGCTAGAGAGATGGCTCAGTGGTTAAGAACACTGGCTGTTCTTGCAGAAGACCCAGGTTCAAATCCCAGCACCCACATGGCAGCTAACTGTCCATAACTCCAGTTCCAGGGGACCCGACAACCTCTTCTGTCCTCCTCAAGCACTGCACGACACAGGTGCACTTACCTACATGCAGGCAATACATGCATACACTTTTTTTTAAAATATTTTTTAAATATTAAAAAAAATGTAGGACAAAGTTAAATAACTCATACAGTTACTATTTTTACTCAAATCCAAAACTGGAGACAGCTTTTAACACATAAATCTATAATTTATGAACTTAACCGCTATGTCTCATGCCTCTTTCTCAATATAGCACTACTTGAATCCATTCACAATCAAGAGAAGTGGACACTCAAGATAAAAGTCTTAGAGCTAATCCTAAAGATAAAGGTTGATGACAATCTCTTTGACAAGTACATACTGGTAATGACAAGATGTATAAGAACTCTGCTCTGTAGAAGCTGCTTATAGTTACAAATTAACAATTCATGAATAAAATGAATCATAAAGAATTACGTTAGTAAAAGCCCTTTAAAGATGGGACATTTGAATCTAAGAAAGGTAATTTCTGTCTAAAAACATCAAATAATCAAAATTAGTACTATTACAGTCTCACAGCATTTAAGAAAACATTTTACCTTGCACTTCTTTATCATGATACTCTTTTAGTTTTGTCCAAAGTTCCTTGAAGTCATTGGCTACATCTGCAGAACTGGGGCTCCCACAACTGCTTCCAGAGATGCTCATCTTGCTTGACAGGCTCCGCCCTCTACTTGCTTAACGTTTTTCCACCTTTCCTATAACATTACACAGGTGTGAAGTTCTTTTTAGATAGCTGAAACACCTGAAATGACAGATCGCAACAAAATAATTTTTGTATTCATCTTTATGTAATTTGAAATCAGAGTGAAAACACAGACTGGCTGTTTTCAAGTTTTCATTATCTACCTACAGGCAACCATTTGTGGGAGAGGCTGAGCAAGAGTAAAGAAAGAAATAATGTTGAAAAGAAATTATGATTTCAGTTATTTGGGCTTTAAATAAATTTTCAGGTGGAATTTCCATTTTTCTACCCAATAAGGAGTAATTAACTACATTACATTAAGGTAGAAAGGACTCTTAACACTGAAAGATTTGTCATCATTCACAATCAGTATTTATTCTTTTTTAAAAAATATTTATTTTTTATGTGTACTACCTGCATGTATGTAAGTGCACCTGTGTCATGCAATGCCCACAATAAAGTGCACCCGTGTCATGCAGTGCCCACAGAGAAGTACACCCGGGTCATGCAATGCCCACAGAGAACAAAAAATGGCACTGGATCCCCTGGAACTGGAGTTATGGACAGTTGTTAATTGTCATGTGGGTGCTGGGATTCGAATCTGGGTATTCTGCAAGAAGAGCCAGTGTTCTTAACTGCTGAGCCATCTCTCCAGCCCCTCAGTTTTCATTCTTATAAAAGAATATATTGACCAACTAACTGTGCTGGCATATGCTTAAAATTCCAGCACTCCAGAGGTGGAGACTGGAGATCCCCAAGTTCAAGGCCAACCTGGGCTATATAACAAGACCCTGCCTAAAAACAACAAGGAATGGAGGCCTGCAAGATTGCTCAGTTGGTAAGGCACCAAGCCTGACAACTTGAGTTACATCCCTGGAAGGGAAAGGAAGGAGAGAACTAACTCCTTTAAGGTGTCCCCTGACTTCTACATGTGTACTACAGTAAGGAGGTGCTGTGGTATCAGCAATGGGCATGCACATGCACACACACACACACACTATATACATAAATAATTGTAATAATTTTTAAAATACAAGGAATGGGGCTTTGGCTCAGTAAAAGAGTGCTTGCTCAGCATGCACAAGGCTTTAGGTTCGATTCCTAGTACTACCAAAAAAAAAAAAGATTACTGCTCTAATTTTTGGATTGATGTGCAATGCAATACTATACTGAACCAGAAACTGGAAAACATTCTGAAATATTTCTTATTTGACAATCATTCATACCTATTTATATAAGAGACATTTTACAAAACCATACAGGTAGTTGACACATTAACACATGGGAGAACCTATGTACATTTCTGAGAATAGAAGTCAGTAACATACATATATAGCAAGCCTCAGTGGATACAGTAGATACAGAAACATTTTATATTTAAAAGTACAAAGCTATTAGGGTAAAGCTACTCTGTGACTCTTTCACAGTAACAGTTAATGATTAACGTTACTACTAAAGAGAAGTAACAGAGTATTAAGAAATTCAAGTGGCTTAATAAATATTTTAAAATGTGTTCTTAACTGAAACCATTAATTAGCTACTATTATAAAAGTAACACTCTAGGTATGGTGACTCATGCCTGAAATTTCAGCACTGGGGAGGTTGAGATAGGAAGACTACTACAAGTCTGAGGCTAGCCAAGACTGCATAATGAGTCCTAGGCAAGCCTGGACTACACAGTAAGACCCTCTCAAGAAAAATGAGGGGAGGGGTCAGAAAGAGGAAGGGGGTACAGGGAGAGGACAGGATACATAAGGAGGCGGGGCACAGCTCAGTTGGTTAAGTATTGTCTAACATCCACAAGGGTTCCACCCCCAGGGACACACAGCATAAACTGGGCACGGTAGTGCACACCTGTGATCCTAGACAGGCGGATGCAGGAGGGTCGAGAGTCCTCCCATTTTCAGCTACGCAGGGAGCCGGAGGCCAGCCTGGGTTATACACAGAAGACTGTCTCAGAATGAAACAACTTCGAAGGGAGCAAGAATGTAAGCAACCTGACAACACTGTATAATGACACTGGAGATATCAACCTGTTACTTTGTATTCGAACATAGAAAGTCAATTTAAGAAAGAATGTAGGCAACCACTTGGTTACCTGAAAAGCACTAGAGAAATAAATATACACATTTACTAAGCTTTACAAAATCTGTAGTTAGACTTTCTAAAAAGACTCAGCAAAAACTACATAGGTTTAGAATAATCTTACAATCTTATTCTTAATTTTCTTGCATGCAAAGTGTTATTGTTAATTTTCTTGGATGTAATCATGATGTGATCATTTAAACCTTTTTTTTAAATTATTTTTTATGCCATTGGGGAAAGAACCCGAGCTTTAGACATGTTACTTAAGCACTCTACCACTAAGCTGTATCTCCTGACCCATTTTTGTTTTTCTGCTAAACTGCCTTGGCTGTTAGAAGGAACTATGCTGAAATATTTAGATGTAAATGTTCTCTGGGAGTGGCTTGACAATAATTTAGCTAAAACAAAAATGGGTGTGGGTGGAGATTAAACAACAAAAACAGCTGAACTCTGACAGTGATCACTGAAAGTGAGTATCTGAGGGGTTCATAATTCTAGCGCCTCTCCCTCATCTAATTCATTTCATATTAGGCTGTAAAAGTGTGATTAGGCTGGGCGTGGTGGCACATGCCTTTAATCCCGGCACTCAGAGGGCAGAGGCAGGCAGATCTCTGTGGGTTCCAGGCCAGCTTGGTCTTCATAGTGACTTCCAGACCAGCCAATGCTATATAGTGAACTCCAGGCCAGGCAGTGCTACATAGTGAGACCCTGTCTCAAAACAAACAGACAAACAAACAACAAGCAAAACAAATAGTGAGATTAGGAGCATTAATACAATTTTGTCTCCCAAATTTATGTTCAACTACTTAACCATAATGGCTCAGCAGTTAAGAACACTGGCTGTTCTTGCAGAAGACCCAGGTTCAAATCCCAGCACCCACATGGCGGCTACGAACTGTCCTTAACCCCAGTTCCAGGAGAATCCGAAGCCCTCTTTTGACCTCCACAGCATTGCACGACACAGGTGCATTCACATACATGCAGGCAATGCACTCACACACATAAAAATAATAAAATATACTTTTTAAAAGACACACTATGGTCATAGGAGTCTGCACTTATTTATATACAATAGCATATGAATTATACATTTTTTCTTCATTTTAATTTTCAGACCAACTGTATAAAAACAATTATTAATTTCACTTTAGAGTTGGGCAAACAAGTGTAACAGACTGACTTGCTCAAGGTCAAACACCTAGAATATGGCTATGTCAGGATTAGGAGCCCCCAAACTACTTCTCTGTAGCAAGGTAAAAAAAAGTATGCTAATAGTTTAAAGGTTTAATTAATTTAATAAAAAATTTTAAATTGACAGCGTGTTAGTTTAAAACTGCGTCAATTTGGTGTCATTTAGGAAAAGTCTGGATCTTGGGATCTCGAGGTAGTCAATCAAGTTTTAATTAATAACACTGTCGACACGAAGCGTGCGTTCTGGCTGACAGCATCCTTTGCCGCATCGGGCCCGCCCAGCACAGCAGGGTGGCATCTCTTTGGGGGGTGAGCCGGTATTCGCTGCATACTGGGTGTCGCAATGTGCATCCTGCTCCGGTCTCTGGACTCCGACCGCCCCTTTCCCGGTCTATCTCAGCTCCGCACACCACCACACTGAAGATGCTCAACAAACATTTACGGTCAACGCACGTATGCCAAGGGACACGCACAGGACATCTAAGCATCCCGCTCACGAGCAAAGCGCAGGAGTAGCCGTGGCTCTCTCACGCCTCTCACTCCAGCCCGGTTTCCATCAACCTCTCCAGAGACGCCCCTCAGCCTCCGTGCGCCGGTCCAAAGGAAGAAACTTCAAAGGCCACAACGCTACGCAAAAAGCGCGCGCAGCGAGCTCGGCGCATGCGCAGGGCAGGCTCCGCGCTGACGGGCGCGTCCTCAGCGCGCGCCGTAGCCCCAGAATCAGCGTAGAACGCGAGCCCGGCCTTCCTCGGCTGCTTGTGATCTGGATGCAGCCTGCCTCAGCGGATGTCTCCCAGCCCCAGGGCCAAATGCCATCCGAGCCCTCGGCTCCGCACCGGAAGTGGCCCTTTGGGTAGGGAAGGAGCCTTCTCTTTACTCACCAGCACCAGGAGGCAAGCGGACGTCGTCCGGCCTCGCAGGGCCAGCAGCTCGCCGATGCCGTCCCTCCGTCGCGTCCCTTCAGCAGACGGCGGACGGTAGGGGACGGCCTGAGCCGCCCCGGAGTGCGGGAAGGCCCGAGGGCGGCGGCGCGCCCAGGCCGCCCGGGAGTCCTGCGACGTCACGCGGGAGTTCCCGGGGCGTCACGCCCCTTCCTCCTGTCGCGCGGCGGGTCGGTCCTTATGGACCCTGGTGACAGCGGGTGATGGGGGAGGGCGGCCGAGGAGCTGAGTGCCCCGAGCGCCACCGCGTGCTTTGGATTCCTGGAGAAAAAGTCCACCCCCCCCCCGGGTTAGGTGACTCAAAAGCTTTTCGGGGAAAGTCTATGACGTCAGAGCTGTATCGCACGGACCTTGAAGATGAGCAGGTGTGGGAATGGACAGGATCAGTTATTGTGAGGCCTTGATAGCCATTGACTGCGGTTTAGTTATTTAAGTGACGTAACCTGGGAGGCCTGGGTGGGGACGTCACATTTCCAAAGGGTCGTCGTTTCTGCTAAAATTCAGTGAGGAAGTTCTGGCAAAATAAGGCATTAGAAGCGTCCAGAATTGTTAGTATGGCATGCTGTGAGTCTTGTTTGAGACTGGGTGTTATGTAGCCCAGGCTGGCCTCAAACTCCCTATGCAACCGAGGATGATCTCGAATTCCTGATCCTTGGGCCTCTTATCCCCAAGCGTTGGGATTAAAGGCATGCGCCACCATACCCGGTTATTTTACTTTATTTGTTCTTTTGTCAGGGGAGTGGGGTTGAAACCATCTCCCTATAGCCCCTGCTGGCCTAGAGCTCCCTGTATAGACCCGGCTGGCCTCCATTTTACAGAGATCCCCCTGCATCTTCCTCCAGCATCTGCCTCCGAAGTGTGTGTGCCACCACAAAGCTGTTTATTTAAGGCTGTACTAGGCAACTAACCCAGGATTTTGTGCATGCTAGGAAAGCAATCAAGTGATTCACATTCCCAGCCCTTAGGTAATATTTTTAAATAAAAATTTCCTATGCTTGTTTGATATTCAAAATCAGTAGGGGGGGACCAGTTCAAATGGCAAACAACAAATTCTACAAATGAAGCAAATAGACTGGAATCACTGCCCCCCCCCCTTTTTTTTTTGGTCTTTTTGAGACAGGGTTTCCTTGTAGCCCCAGCTGTCCTGGATTCACCATGGAGACCAGGCTGGCCTCACAGAGATCCACCTGCCTCTGCCTCCCGAGTGCTGGGATTAAAGGCGTGTGCCATCACGCACTGTCTCTTTTTAAACCAGTCCTATAGTTTAAGAAGCCTGGAGATAATGTTATAAAACCTGAGTAGCACTGGGTGTGATGCCTCACACCTGTAATTCCGCAAAAGCAGGAGAATGACTGAATTCGAGGCCAGCCTGGAAAGCAATTTTCCTCCCACTTTGGATATTAAGGGGTAAATAATTCACTCCTTGGGACTGAACATACCAGTATGTCCCATACCACGTGCTGTCGCATTGCCATATAAAAGTTGGTATCTTTAAATAATAGTGAGTATTCATTACCATTATAATGACTGACTCCTCAATTTTGTAAGACTTAATCAAATGAATGAAAAATGGATTATGCTTTTTCTCTCCATGCAAGCACCCTACCAAGCCCTACTATTCACAACACAAAATTGGCAGAGTGAAACTTGTGTAATTTCTAATAGAAATAGAGAGCTTTCCATATAGATGCAAAGAACCTGTGATCAGTTTGTCATTTAATAGCAAATGCAAGAATCCAGTAGTTTTCTAAGGAAAAGGTATTTGAGCTGGGCGTGGTGGCCCACATCTTTAATCCCAACACACTAGGAGCAGGAGAATCTCTGTATCTCTGTGGTGGAGGCCAGCCTGGCCTATGTATCCAGTTCCAGGCCAGCTGGGACTACAGGGAGACCCTATTTAAAAAAAAAAAAAGAAAGAAAGAAAGAAAGAAAAAAGCAAAGCTATTTGAGGGGTTGGAAAGATGATTCTGATTCTGGTTAAAGCACTAACTGCTTCTTGCAGAGGACTCAGGTTCCATCCCCAGCATTCATATCAGGCAGGTCACCTCTAGACTCCCCTGGTACCTGTTTGCTTGTGATGCACATAAATTCACTCAGGCACACACACACACATACACAGAAAAAAGTAATAGTTCTTTAAAAAGAAAAGCTGAAGCTGTACATGGTAGTACACACCTATAATCTTAACACTTGGGAAGGCTGGGAGGCTAAAGCAGAGGGATTGCTGTGAATCAAGACCAGCCTGCATTACCAGACCAAAAACCAAAACAAAACCCACAAAAACAACTGATACTTTTATCTCCCTTAATCTGATATCACCTGATCCCCAAATCCTGTCAGTTATACCTTCCAAAACATCTAAGTCCATCCCTTTACTTTTACCACTGCTTCCATAATCTACCATGATCTTTTTTTTTTTTTTTTTTTTTTTATTGAGACCGGTCTCATGTAGCCTAGGCTGGACTTTAACTTATTATGTAGTTAAATCTGGCCTTGAACTCCTGATACTCTTGCCACCATCTCCCAAGTAGTGGGTTATAGGCATGCACCACCATACCTGGCTCTACTATGATCGCTTTTCCTAAACTACTAGTAGTCTCTTTTCCATATCCACCCACCCAACCAATCATCTACTTAAACTTTCCTCTGATATTTAGGAAAAATTGAACATGTATTCCCAGTTGGTACATATGTTTACTATGTGTATTGCTGAAATAAAAGATATAGTCTAATTAGTAAGATACAGGCTCTAGAAACAACTACTGGGTTTGAATCTTGCTCTGACTGACTGACTGGACTAGTTGGTTAATTTCTGTCACATTATCCCTGCCTGTAAAATAGTGAATATAATAGTGCAAACCTCACAGGGTATATGAATTATATGTAATATAATTTAATGATTAAATTAATATATAAGCCACTTAGTACAGTGTGCAAATGTATAGTATGTGCTCTATGTGTTACAGCTCTTTTACAGTTTGTCTAACAGGATTTCTGACTTATGTTGGAACCTTACCCCTTCCCCCACATAATACCTGCTCAGTAAAAGCCAGCTTCTGTTGATACTTCTGAGCTAACAGACTGAATATTGTAACACATTTAAAAGCTGTTTTTTAACCATGAAGAATGGAGTCAAAAACCTAATATCAAAACAAAACAAATTTTAATTTAAAATTTAAAACTCTGGTATTTCCTCCCCACCCAGCCCCACCCATCTTAAAGCATGCTTACTTTGAGGCCATTCTGGACAGCAGCTGTGAATTAATCAGAACATCACTGTGCTGCTTAAATCTTAACCTCTTTCAAAACAGCACTCTTGATCAGTCTCCAGTTTCATTTCCATTTTCTGTTCTCAGCCTCACTAGCCTTTTAGAGAATCTTCTTGACCATGGTGTTGTGCTTTCCTGGATTTCTCCTCTAAACCTACCCCTGGAACTGGAGTTACGGACTTTTTTTAGCTGCCTTGTGGGTGCTGGGATTTGAACCCTGGTCTTCTGCAAGAACAGCCAGTGCACTTAACCACTGAACCATCTCTCCAGCCCCTCTTACACTTTTTTTATATACAACTTTAGTTTCCTCTCCCTATTAAACTCAAAAACTTCTTCAGGTCAGTAATCATGGCCTGTTTAATCTCCCCAAACTAACCTGGTATTGGTCACAGAGTCAGTACTCTGGATAATGAATGAATCGGGTATCCCTTGATAGAGTGTCATTTTTCACATATGTGGAAACTTCTTGGATCCAGTGAAAAATCTTAAACCAGGTATGGTGTCACATGCTTGAAATCCCAACATTCAGGAAATGGAGGCAAGATGATCAGGAGTTCAAGGGTAGCCTTGGCTATGTCAACAGTTCCAGGCTTGCTTGGGCTACAGGAGACCTTTTCTCAAAATAAAGCAAAAAACAAAACAAAAACCCCTTAGATTTCTTTTCTTACTTTGCCTTTCTTCCTTCCCTCTTTCCTTCCCTCCTTCCCTTCCTTCTTTTTTTTTTTTTTCTGAGGCAGAGATTTACTGTGTAGTCTTAAGTGGCCTATAACTCTATGTTGCCCAGACTGCTCATAAGATGACCATGAGCTATTGGTCCTCCTGCTTCCACCTCCCAGGTTCTAGGATTACAAGAGTGTGCCACCTTATCCAGCTTTTTATGATATTTTATAGTGATCACTTTTTAATTTAATTGTGTTTTTTTGAGATGAGGTCTCCCTGTAGTTACAGTTGGCCTGGGACTTGCTATGTAGACCAGGCTGGCCTCGATCTCACAGAGATCTGCTTGCTTTTGCCTCTCGAGTGCTTGGGTTAAAAGTGTGTGCCACCATGCCCAGCTATAATGGTCACTTTACTCATGGGCATAGTGGTCATAATCATAGATATTTGCCACAAGAAGAAATTATAAGCCCTGCCATGGGAATAAAGTATGTTCCAGATATCTCCTAAGAAAACACTTACCAAGAAGCTGTTAATTTGAACTCTGTAATACTGAGTATTTCATATTTTATAGTTTAAAACAGTACTTCCAAACCTTTTTCAATTTTGGCATACATTGAAAATGAATACAGATGGTCCCTGACTTAGAATCATTCAATTTCTGAGATGTGTGTGTGTGTATTTTTTACACTGTTGTGAAAGTGATATGTGTTCAGTAGAAACAAAACTTCACAATTTTGGCTTTTGATCTTTTCCTAGGCTGGTAATAACTCAACATGATTCTGGGCAAGCCTCAGTATGCTGCACCTCCCAGTCAGCCACTTGATCACAGAGGAAACAGTGCTGTATAGGATACTGTGTGGCTAAGCCAAGATGTTCTGTTAGGTAGGCTATGTAGCTAAGCTTATTACAAGGTTTTTTCTTTTCTTTTTTTTTTTTTTTTTGGTAATTGGCATGTGTGCGCGTGTGTGTGTGTGTGTGTGTGTGTGTGTGTGTGTGTGTGTATGTGTGTCTAGATTTATGCATGCGAGGCAAGTGCTCTACTACTGAGCTATATTCCCAGCCCTATTGAATTTATTTTCAACTAAAAATATCTTTAATTTATCATGGGTTTATGAGACATGACCCTCTTGAGAGTCAAGGAGCATGTATACTTGTATTTCATACTGTGATGGCAGAATAAGGCTGCTTCCATCAACAGGGGCAGAAATAGAGACTTCACTCACTCTATACCCAGAGTTGCCCTCATCAGGACTGGGAACACACTGTCTCAGCATACCTTTGCTCCATTAGAGGCCCCC